ACTGAAAAATATACCTCTTCATATTTTTTATCAGCCTCTTCGGCAATTAATTTTGCCTGGACTAATTGAGTTTCCAAAATAGCTACTCTGTCATCTTCCAAATTTGTACGATTTTCAAGAGCTTTTCGTATCCTGTATATTGGAATTTGTAATAGTTATAATTATTGTATATGTCGGAATAAATTTGTTGAACTTATCACTAGTATGAAGAATAAAGTACAAAATATATTTACCATACATTTATTACTAAGTGGATATTAAATTTAGTTAATATATAGAGGTAATAAAAATCCTCTGTTGCAGTTCGCAAACAAAGGTGTACTAACCGTTCGCTCTCATCGGCAGCTTGAGAAGCTTCCGAAAGCTTGGCTGTGGCTGATCCCAAACGTTCCTCTGAACGTTCCAAGTCTTCTTCGAGCAATTGAATGCGACGATTCAATGCAGCTACTTCTGATTCGGCCTGTAATTCAAATTAAATACCAGACATAGGAAATAGAATTTTCGATCCAAAAAAAAGCTTACATTATAAAATATAAAGAACCATAAAACCTTTATATAATACTTAAAATAAGCTTTAGACTAGACTAGCGCTTATATATAATAAGTATATATTTATAAGAAATACTCAAATACTTTTAGACATTTGCTTAAAACTATATCCATGAACTATTGGTTTCTCAGAGATCTAAAAGAGTGAGCCTGCTTAGGGAAGGTGTAACTTTGCTTTCTAGAAATTGCCTATTTTTTAAATTAAATAATTAAATTTAAAAAAAATGCTTGTGGGTAAGCTCTCTTTTTACTTAAACAGTTTTATTGCAGCTCTCAGTAAACTTCATTGGATCCGCTTTTATTTTGGTGAGCTGTAAAAATAAAAACACCTTCATGTCGCGTCCTAAAATATGTGCAAATATTTTTAATCATCTCCTAACACCTCTTTAAAATCATTTCTAATTTACTAAATAGCAGCGTCAGGCGAATTTTGCCAGCATAAAGGCAACGAATGTTTATCCTATCGAAGTATGTAGGACACTCTCCAAAATATTTCCTTTTTAAATGAATATTTTAATATGAATATTTATATAAGTAATTCCCTTAAATGACCTTTTAAACCTTATCAATACAATTAAGTAGGCGCCAAGATGATCGCTTTACTGTGCGCCGTGAAAGTAGCAACACAATAAATTCAAGTTGAATGACATCATTGGGCACGAGACATGCGACATGACAAATATTATTAGTACCACCGAAAGAGACAATAAATTCGCCGTTACAACAACAACAACAATAAATTCGATATCTATTCACATGCCATACTTGTGCATAAATAGAATTTTGTATTCAACAACAAAATTGACTAAGCAATTTGTATTTAAGTGTATGAAGGAAATGTAGTATACACAGATAATTTGGAAAAGATTTACAAAATTATTTAAAAAAAAAATATTTTTTCAATGCAAATATTACTACCACTGGTAATTTGGAAAAGATGTACCCAATTATGTGAAAAAATATATTTTCAATGCAAATATTACGTTTAACCATATTTAAAATAAGCTAATGTTTCAGTTGAACGAGTAAGCAAACTCAAGCTTAATGTGGTAATGCTCATTGGCCAGCACCAACAGCACGCAACACCGGAGGGAGAAGCGCCGCGAAACCACCACCAAAAATTACTCAACAAATTAGGCAAGCAATGTTGAAACATGCTACAACGAAGCAATAATGTTGACTGGGGATATCCAAATAACAAAATTGAGAGAGAAAATAATCTATATAAGCTAGATTAGGTAGTAACACTTGATGTTTGCGAAGTCAACGGTAATGAAGAGCAAATATTTCAAAGAAATTATGCATATAAGGTAGTACACCTCAGATATACAATATATACAGAAAAAGAAAAGAAGCCTCTGTACAACAAGCTCTGTGCTTGTGATATGAATTTGAATGAAGGTGAGCTTACGTCATCGCCTGCTAAGCACTCAAATTCCTATACATACATACATATGTACGTACTTAAAGCAAATATGCCAAACTAACAAAACCAACGAGAAAGATATTGTATAAAATTGATAAAAAAAAAAAACACCATTAGCATTAAAAAAAAAACTCAGACAACAATAAGAGCGACAAGCAACATTGTATCCTATACGTTTCTCAACTATTTTGAACGATATTCGAACGGTCACTGAATTGGATAAATTGCTTAAAAGTATTTTAAAATTCTAGACAACTTTGTCTCTTGCTTTTCTGACAGCGAATGAAACACAACAATTGAGCATAATAAAATCTTATAACCGTATTGAGAAATTAACCTCATTCGGAGTGAACGGATGGTGAATGTAGTAAGAGAATCATTGAAGTGCTACAGCACAAATACATAGGCATGTGTAAAAGTTTCAAAGAGGCCAAAATGTCATTCAAATTTTTTCTTTCTTTGCAATTCTAACTTTTAATCTGCAGACCTGTATTATATTACATACATGTAAGTATGTATATAGCGAAAACATATATAAATTTGCCGGTATAGCGTTGAGACAAAATATTTATTATAAAACAACTTGGAATTATAATTAGTAAAACGAGTAACGATGAAAGGGGCAATAAATCGGTTAGGTCATTGCTTGGTTACGAAGAGTACATGTGTTTGTTATAACATTTTTTTAATAAACTTAGCGGTACTTGCAGTTAGTGCTATGAAAAACGGTCACATGGAGTTGTCAAAAGCAACATACAACAATACACTTTCATACATTAACATATGTATGGTATATGTATGTAATTTAAACAAAATATAACTCACTCATTACAATGACATTATGCTCGTTGTAATGCTATTTAGGTGTGTTCGCGTCAAACAAATGCTAAGATTGTCACTGATATATAATGTCAAGAACAAATTCATTAGGAAAATGTCACTATTGCATGCACGTACAAACATAACAATTATGCTTATTCTAAATCTTCTAAAGATAATAGATTTTCAGAAAAGTATATTGCAATTTTTTTACCGACATTTCAGCTCTACTATTTAAAAAAGCGATCAGCCTCATACGTTTATGCATATGCATTAAAAAAATTTCTGATTGCATTAGCAATTGAAAATAACTCCTTATATAATGTGAAGGTCACTACAAAGATAATTAAACTTTACCTAATATGTAAACGAAAATAAATTTTTTTGACCAAATATTTTAAATGAAATATGTAGCCATTGTGTATGACATCAGTGACACAGCAATACTATGTATGTAGGCCTTCAACCCAATAATGTTTACATAAACAGGCACAGACACTAATAGCAACATTGATAGCATATATACTACAACATTATCTATGTGTATTTGTCTGTTTACACCCAGAAATAGGTAACAGAATATATTTGAATGAGATGTACTATTTTTCGAAAATTGAAATCGAGCACATAACTACAGAATTTATTTTCCAGTTGACGGAATCACTCAAAAATTGAAACGACCTAATGAATAGATATTCCCAACCATGCAGAACATGAATTAGCACAACAGAAAGTCGACCCCCAGATGGTACTAAATAATAGAGGTTGATTCCTACTGCAGTCACATCATAGCGATTTTGAATAGCAAATATTTGTCCCAGCTCAGTAGCGATAGCTGTTATTTATTGTGGGTTACATACATATATATGCATGTGTATACATAACTATGTATATGAATAGTTTTATGTACATATATGAATAGACACGAATAATACAGAATTAAAAATTAATTTCAAGTAACGTTTAGTTTGAAATTAGAAAAACAAAAATAAATGTTGTTAAAATATTTCTCCAAATATAAAAAGATATGGAACCCATATTTCCCTTATTTACCTGCCTACCACATAAGTACAAAGATGGATAGAAAGAAATGGAAAAAGCAACTAACAACCGCACAAATATTAAAACAAAAACTACTTTGACCAATATTACTATATATAGCCTGTCATGGCTTCAAGCGGAACTTAATTTCAATTCTTCCTGGTATTTTTCACAAAATGTTTGACTCAAATTTTAACAAAACCAACTATAATTATTTAAATTGAAGACGGCTAAAGTAATATTTTAATGGCTTAACAGTTACATTTTAATTGCCTATCGGTTGAATGGCTAACACGTGCCCGCAAAAATGGAGCGAATATGTATAAGTTATATGTTTATCATGTATCTTCTTAAACCATTAATTTAACAGCGGGATTTAATATTGCAGTAGATCTTTTTAATAACTGTTAATGTAAAAGACGGAATGAAAATTTTGGACAAGACAAAGTTAATATTTACAGTTTAACTCGCAAAATATTAATAGAAGCTATTATTTCCGGCTAATAAATACATCTGTTTGTTTGTACATATAAGATAGATAGATCTATACGTTAATAATAAACTAAAGACACCTACATAAATTTCACAATTTTTGTATCAATTTGTTATTGATTATTTTAATTATTAAAAAATCAATTAAGAATCAAAGAAAATTGTGCTTTTGGAAATTACTGATGGCAAGAACAATTCCCTAAATATTTCAAATTGCAGATATGGCAATATTGACACAAGGTATTTGACGTTTCAACAAGGTTTGCAGACAGCTGTGCAAAGTAGGATGCGTCGTCCTTGTCGCACATATAAGAAATTAAACAGAAGCTGGTGGAACCGCTACATCGAAATCAGGCAATACTAAAATTAGTTAAATAGAATCACAAGTTAATATGTAACAAGTAAAATATGTTCATCTAGATTCTAGAACTCGCAAACACTGTTTAGAGTCTAAACCTCAATCGTCAATGAGAAACCAATCTTGATGTTCATGGATAGTTTAGAAAATTCCAGTTAAGTGATAGCGACACCTGTGCCTAGGCTACAGTGCATACGCGTACACGACCCTCTCCCCTTTACAACCATAAACAATGATCAGAGTGGAACTTACTTCTTCACGTCGAACCACCTCAAGTTGTAAACGCTTGTGATATTCCTCACATTCATCTTTATATTTTTCCATTTCTTCTTTGGTCTGGCGCATTTTCTTCTTAAGCACATCCAAGAGGGTGCCTTGTGGAATGCTGGTCGTCATAATTAACTGCTTTTTTTAAAAGGTGGGGTGAAGGATGGTCAACAACACTACTGTTGCACTAATTCTTTTTAATGACACCACAAAATTTTGGCTCGATCGTTGTGGGTAATATACTATTCGACTTTGCTTCGCACTTTTACTGATGGTTATCACGCACACAAACGCCACACAAGTATTACTTCAAACTGGAAAAAGATAAACGAACTTTCGTTTTTTGACTGTTGTGCAATTTTAATTAAATATTTTCCGTCGAAATTACAACTTATCAGATTTTGAATTTTACAATTTATCAATTTTCGTACTTTTTCGCAGCACCAAACGTTATAAAAAAAAACTATTTTTTTGACTTTAACAAAAAAGAACACGGCAGTGACAAGGGCTCGAACAATAAAAAAAAATATATGACACGAAGAATAGCGAAAAAGATAGAGAAGTTATGAATGTGGAACGCAACGAAACGAAACACACTACACGAACAATTTGGAACCACCGGTTTTTCTTCTGCTATTCCTACTTTGCTTCCTCCTTCTACCTTTCTTTTAACGTTAAGCACTTTTTTCCTTACAAAGGTAGCTTAACTTGAAACACTTGATATTGTATACGCACTTTTCTTTACACTTTACGAATAAACCCAACAATGTTGTCGCTCACAAAACAGGCACTACTAACTTTGCAAACTTGGTTAATTTTTAACACAACTACCACGTCTCGATTTTTAATGCCGCAGCGTAAAATTTATGAGCTCAGCACTGAGTGAATTCGTATCGCAAAATGAAATCGGTCAAAATTTTCGAATTCTTTGGAAGCAGAGACACCGACAACGACCAGCCAAAGATTACGTTGACATTCGTATATAGTTGTTGTTGCTGCCACTGGAAAATGAACAATCAAAGAGAATATCTCTCTCACAAGCCTCGCCTTAATTTGTGAATGACTCAAAACGACATTGAACAAGGCCAGCTAGCACCGTATTTAGAAAAGCACTTGTATTCCAAACTGTTGTGTGAAAGAGATGCTTACATTTAATAAAAACAGTTAAAACACTTTAAAAAGTAGTTAAATTGTCTGAGTACTAATTGCATAAAATTGGTTTGTGTCTGCTAAAAATATTAGGATAGAGCTTAAATAAAAACCATATGTACATTTAATTAAAACACTTATGATTTTGCAAAAAGCAAAAGAAAACTCAAATATTATGGCAGAAAAGCAAATTCCAATAAGAAAATATACTCTCTTACATCGTTGTTGCCAGACTACTCATTTTTAATAAATCTTCGTGAGGGGGAACTAGTTTAAAAGGGCAAAGTTAAAAATCCTTTTATATTCTTATGTATTAACAAAAAGTTATAATTATTATAAATATGTGAACTTTTTGACTGACTGTTTTGAGCAAAAGTAGGTTTGTCATTTTTCTAATAAAATGTTAATTAATTAAGCAACCACTTAACAAATTAGAAGATCAGGTACAGACTTATGATAACACAATATAAATATATTACCGAATATGCAAGAATTTTTATATACATTTATACTTATACGTATGTGTAGGCACTATATTTCAGTAAATGGGAATATAGTATGTATGTATATTCGCGCGTAAGTTTTCCATTTATAGTAGGTGACACATGCGCGCACTTACTGTGCATGATAAATAAATAATTATTATTATTTAGTAAGCACGTTGGCAATGAAAAGAAATTAAGAGTAAAACACATTTTGCCATTTTCAAACCTTTCCACGTTTGCCAAATTCGGTTACAACGGTGTGACGACAACTTTTATTGTCGCTGCATTTACTGACTGCCAGTTGTAAGGTCGTTGATTCCATAAATGTCGAGAGAGCGAGAAACGTGAGAATTGTATTTCTCTAAGTATTTAATGACAATAATGAAAGCACTATTACACTATTTGTTAGATTAGAATTAAGTTCATTTCAATAACTACTACATTTGTGAATATAACCGTAGACTACACATCATTTTTGGTCAAAATCTATCAGACCACTTGTTACAAAGCGTGCAAAATCGCATAATGCTAGGAATATTGAATAACCAGTCATACATCACCAGTTAGTTGATTCAATCAATTCGTTACCATAAAAGGTACTAATGACCATTTGGATCATTAACGTGTTTTGAATGTCAGTGCATAAAAAAATGGCAATTGGTTAAGAACCTTATTCCAAAAAAAAAGTTTATGTGAATTAATGCTAGCTGTGGGGATAGTTTTGTACAATAAGTGGATGAAAATCACAAATTATAATAAATAGCTGTGATATACAGTCAGTTGATAAGTAGTAGTAGCTTAGTAGCCTTTTTAAACTTAAATCTATAAATTTTTGATAAATATGCATATGTTCCCTAGTTTAAAAGATGAAACTTGCAGAACTTGAGAGTACATTTTACAAATTAATTTGTGGCCGCCTAATTTTGTGCAACAATTTAGTTTGTAGCAATCTGCTCAACGAAGAATGAGCTCAACAACGTATAACGACGCCTGCCAAGAAGTTCGTCGTCTCGCACACATATATGTACGTATGTATGTAAGTATATGATCAAGTGTGGAAAAAGAAATTTGCAGTTTAACATACGAAAACAGAAGCGTATAATACATTGAACTGGGTCATTATCTATAAAAGACGAAGTACAGAAAATTACAAAAAATATGCACCACAATTCAAATGGTGGTTATACTAATCGTGTGAATACATATGTAGCCAAAAATTATGTGTACACAAGAGCAATAAAATATGCAAAGAATTAGCAAAATGATCAAGTGAAAGTCGAAGAAATTTTTGTATTATTCTATAACTGCAAAAATAATCACAAAATGACATTATCAACAATTGTTTATCACAATCGATTATTTTTAGAGCTTTGACGAATAAACGAATTAAAAAATATTATTTATAACACTACTGAAGTCCTTTTTGTTGAAGTTTTATAAGGAAAAGAAATAACAATTTTGTGAATGACTATCGAAAATTGTCTCAAAGTTCTCATTACGCTGATAAAAATAAAATACCGGTCTTTTGAAGTTTAGATTCTGAATGTCTGTGGGATCGCGTTATACGGATAGCAAATACTTCTTCCTATATGTGTATACCCCTATTAAAATACTTGCACATGTTTGTAGGTACGCAAAAAATTGAGAAAGTGTGTTGATTAGTTATCAAATGCAATTCAAATTATTTCACACTTGACTACCTTACGGAGTCTCATGCTTTTAATTACCCGTTTAAGTTGCGTTTTCATGATGTTATGCAATTCGTTACGTATGATATTGAACTTCATCATGGTATCAGAGCTAAATATAGAACGACCAAATGCAAGTCCAGGATAGTCGGCGCAACGACCTTTATTACGACGCGCCTCACGCTCTGCAACAATTTCCGCGGCTTCGCTGGTACAACGTAATTTCGCCCACTCAGCTGCTTGCACATCCTCATCATCAATGGCGATACCTTCATCTGCCGCGGCATTTGCTTCGCCTGAACTAACTATAGTACCATCTGCATCGGAACAAACTGATGCACGTTTACTTTTATCCTTCCTTGTTTTTTTCTTTTTTTCTGAACGATCAAGTTTTTCACTTTTATCACGTTTAGATCTGATTTTTTGTGATTTCGGAGTCACACTTTCAGTTGCAGTATTACTGGTGGGCGTCTGTGCGTTTCCCACGCCTTCGTCAATCATACTGCTTTCGTCCGTGGGAGTTGGACTGTTGCTGCCCATCGACGTTGTTACTGAGTCGGTTAGAGGCAAGTTTAGCATTGACGATTTGGAAAGATGTAATTCCAATTCTTCATCTGGCTCATCGGTATATTGTGAATCTCCCATTGTGGAGGATACTGTTTCTACATCGCTTCCCCCACCAACGGACATGGAGCCGTCTTCTTGTACAGCCTGAGCGGCTTGACGTAAGTTGGAGAGAACACTTTGTGAATCCCCTCGATATAGTGCAGCGAGAATTTCCTGAACATTTGGACGGCGTGTGCCCGAAAAACGCGGATGATGCTGATGACCGCGTCGTCTATGTGAGGAAGGAACGACAGGTGACGTAGTAGTGGATGCAGATCCTGCACCACTTGTTGTGGATTGCATATCTGCATCGTCTACACTCTTATCTGTAGCTGACATATCTGATTGGCTCCAATCAGTACTCCAATCACTCTCGTAGTCGTCGTCGACGTCACCTTCGTAATAAATTTCCTCTGATTTTGCTCTTTCACTACAGCAATCGTAAGCTTTATTTATATGACAATTCCATGCGCAACAGGCATCTTCTTCGTCTTCACAGAAATACAGTAATTTATCCAAATAATTTAATTGTTCCTCGATTGAGTCCCAACGCGATGAGATAACAGACTCTGCATAGGATTCTTTCGATTTCACCGTACCAGCACGTTTATTGCCTATTTGTTGTTTACTTTTCTCCTGTTTTGATTTACAACTGCTATTACTACCTGCTCCTCCGCCACTGTGGGCATTTTTCACTAAATTTTGCAATTTTTTCTTTTGCTGGTTTAGTTGTTGCGATGGATGACACTTTTGCTGTTTCTTCTTTGTCGCTGTACAGCGACAGCTGTTCGAATGACTACAATTGTTATTGGTCTTCGTTTGACACTTGACGTCTTGCTGGCTTAAGGTTGCCACACCAGTACCACTACTATTAGTCGCTTGGCGGTGCTGCCAGTCGCACCCGCCACTTGTCAATAGGTGGCGGTGAGCACGTTTAATTTGCCTGATTTCGTGATGTACGCGCCGACGGCGAACATACAATAAGGGCGATTGCTGCCGCTGAACGTGTTGCTGTTGCTGCTGCTGTCGATTACGCAGTGTTTGTGGTCGCTGTTGAGTTGGTACGCTGCCAACTGCAGCTATCGTTGTTTTTGTTTTGTCGAAAGTGGGTGCTGTTTTCTGCTTCGCTGTGGCAATATTAGGTTGTGCTAAATTCAGCTTTTGTGTTGTTGACGTTTTCGTCCTTGAGATTTTTTGATTATTCGCTGCACCTTTCAGAAGCAATATAGTAGTTTGCGATTTCGTTTTCGCTACCGAATTTTTGTTCAATGTATTTTTAATTTGTGCATTTGACTTATCGACACTACCACCACCTCCACCTTTTGCTTTAAGGTGATTTTTTGTTTGCGTTTTTTTACTATAACTCACTGTTTGCCATACGTTTGTATTTGTTTTATGTTCGCACAGTGTTCCTTGAACCATAATGAGTTTGCTCGTTGTAAGAGTATTTCGATTTGCGCACAAAAATCTCAAGCGGATAGTTCAATTTGAGTTTATAGGTGTTTTGCACTAACGTATATTAGAAAAGAAGGTGTTTTAGTATATAGAGTTTAACTGCTGTACTTGTTCTTGCAAATGGCAAACTAGAAATATGGTTTGTGTGATTGTAATTAATTATATATAGTGCACTGTCAAAATTCGAAATGTCAACGGCTGATAACGGCTTTTGTACACAACAAATGTTCCACTTCGTATTGTTCTTATTTAGTTTGTATGGAGTTTGTGCAGTTATCACTTCGATTTACATTTGTGCTTATTTGCAGTTGCTGATTTATCTTGTATATTTCAGTAATCTATTGAGCATATTTGTGTAATTTGTAGTGCATACACTTATTTCTATGATTTATTTATATTGATTAATGTATATTTTCCATTTCAAAGTTCATGCGTACATGCACTTTCTCTTTATCTCACAACTGCTGCATTGGCTTTTCTATTATTTGCCGATCAATATGGGCTTACATAGTTGCTTTTCAACAAATCATTTTTTGTCTAATCATGTTGATGTTTCTTTTGCTGTAAATGCACATATCGCATACATATGTATATTTTCACTATTTTTGAGTTACAATTACAATTGATGTTTACTATTTATATACATATGTGTGTACATGCATACACGAGAAGTACGCATAATCACACCACTATTTACTTACATATATATCTAGGTACATATGTATATATGTATTATCTATGATACTGACGTTCATATCACACCCGTTTACGTAGAGTTTTCGTGATTTGGTAATACTTGGTTTAATTTCATTTGTATGTATGTATGTATAACGCGTAAAATTATTCAATTACACATATACAAACATATTTAGGTTTCCGGTTGTATTTGAATTTGCGCTAATATTTGCAATGTTTAGTAAAAGCGCCGCGCTCCATTCACTCAGTTTTAAAATTTTAATTTGAATGTATTTGCTTTTTATATATTATTTTTTTTTTGCAAATACGCCAATTTTAGTTGTTTTTTTGTTCAGTTCAGCTCTAAAATTTTATTTAACTCACATTAAATAAAAATAGAGTTTTCAGTTATAAATTATTACATGTAAGTAATTATTATTTTTATTTAAAAGCTGCTCCTTTCAAAACGCTGTCATACACATTTGTATAACTACTTAAAACACTCTTCAATTTAATTATGCGGCATTGTTGGCCTCACTTCTACGATGATTTAATTTCTGCTGTTGCTTCTTCTAACCGTTGCTGTTGGCCGTTGCTTCAGCTTCTGCTCTATTGCCGTTCCCGTGGTTGCCGCTATGCGCGCTAGTTGTGGCACGTAATATATCTATTGCATATGGCTGTACGTATGTATGTATAAATTGTACATAACTTTGACCGTCATATACATATGTACGCCTAATTACTACTCCTGCTCCATATGATCATCACCGCATGCTCTACTGTCGGCACTCTCGGCATACACTCCTGCTTTTTGAGTGATATGAGCAATATGCTTGACTCACACAAAAACACCACCCCCTACTATGACTAGCCGGTTGCGAACGTTACACTCCCAGTGATCTAATTAATATGTGTTGAGGAAGAGTTGGCAAATGTGTGTACCTAGTATGCATGTGCAGCCATATGTAATTATAGTAAAAATGTTAGCTAAACTTTCTAATAACTCGCTCCCACTCTCTTTATCGTCTCTTACGTATTTTCCACTTGACTAGCCGGCTGCAGCACACTACAATTCGTGACCGTCGACCATCAACCCATCGACCCCACTGTGATCGTACAGTAAAATTAACGGTGCGCACGCCCGCCCTATAGCTAACCAATGGATATGTGGGAGAGTACGTCCACATATGTATATACATATATTTTAGCCATGTATTTTGACACTTGTATTTGTGCTCCACTTTCTCTCAGTCGAGGTCGCCGTCAAAGAGAGTCAACGCCAAATCATTGCTCTGTGTCATCGTGCGAGTATTTTCATATGGAACTATTTTATATCGCTATACATATTCATATATACATGTACATGCATTGTATATACATATATATGTGCATACATATGTACGTATATATATTTCAAATAACATTGTGTGTTTATTCAGCGAACAGTGTTATTATATGTACAAAGTATGTAGTTTTTCCTATAGCGTTCCATTAGTCAGTTTTGTTGTTGTGCTTATGCATTCGTCACCATGCATATATATGCATATGTATTGTACATATATGTATGTCTCGAAATTAAATATGTTTGTACAGGCTCACCGGTATGTAGTCATTTTATATTTTTGTTTTGAAAAATGTTTCTTTTTTTCTTTTAATTAACCACATTTTAAAATGTTATCTACGCTTTGTAATTTTCTATACAAGCTACAGGCATAAACCCAATAATTTTTGGTAAGCCAGAAAAAAGTTGAATTTGGTTATACAATTACACACATGTAATACATATTTACACGTATTTGTATTTGAGTGATGATATATTAGATAACAATTAAGTTTGTTAACATCTTACGTGCCGTTAGAAAAAAAGCATGTGCCGTATATTACGTAAAAACATGTACAATGTATGTATAATATATGTAAGTATATTGTAGTTCCTCTATTCAAAACATATGCGCCGCAAATTTAAAAATTGTTTTGGCAAAAATTTGCTCATCTCAAAATAATATTTAATTCCAGCGTAGATTTTAATTAAAGTATTCGAATGTTTATATTAAATTTTCTCCAATTCCAAAGTTTATTATATTTTTATATTTTCCAATATACATACATATACTTATTTAAAAATCTAAATTTTCAATTTGGCAAATTTTTGCAAACTATAAAATAAATAAACAACTTGCATTGAGTATCTTAAGAAACCAACAACAAAATGCTGTACTCTACTCTCTGAGTAGCGTTATTCGATATTTTGAAATTCAGCTAAAATCCCACTGCTTTAAACTCTTTCCGCCGTATTTGGAAATGGGCGGTACTCTTTTTTAATTTGCTTATTATATATATACATACACCTTTACACATATGCATATGTGTGTTTTGTACACACACAATTTTATTTGTGTATGTGTGTGAATTTTCTGAATTTTCTACAAATTACCGATGAGACTTTGATTTTAAAAATAGATCAACGGAAACTGAGCAAAGAGCCATTTGTGCAGTTGGCAACGCAAGCAAGAACGTCGCTGCCAGACAACTTTAGCTAATTTGAATGTCAGCGAATGTTATGTTAGCGCTGTTATGTTAATTTATCGCCGTTGGTCGTTTGTTCTTATAACAGTGGCGCACTCTTTGCAAATACATATTTACATAAATCATGCTAACCGATTTGAATGTATAATGTGTGTGAGATCTGTGTTTTTTTACGGTTTGGTATATTGACAGGTGCCTTTGCGGTAAGACAGGCTAGTTAATGCCTCGATTCTCGATAATAATCCCTTGTAAACGTAACTGGCTCTAGAAAAACATTTTTATATATATAAGAACAGTGCTTAAAGCACTTTTTCATTTTAAATAAACACCCCTACTTAAGCACATTGGAGATTATGGATTAAAAGATATAGTATTTAGTGAATATATATTTTCGTTAAATTTCCCTCATTTCATTGATTATTTGAGTATTTCTTATAGATCTACATATGTATGTATATTTAATAGATGTGAAAAATATATCACGAATATGTTATAATTATATAATATATAACATAAAATAATATACGTAAATCTATCTTAAATTCTTAAATTAAAAGCTTTATATATTGAAAAAAATTCTGAGAAAACACTACTTTCAAAACAAGTTTTTTATTCAAATAGTTATGAAAAAAAAATTCCTATATCATTAACGTCCTTACTTTTTTTTGTAATTCTAAAATTTATTTTGGATGCGATAAAAAATTTAAAACTGGAAAATTTACATTGAAAAAGTTACACAATCTTTTTTCAAGGTGAGATAATTTTTTTTATGAAAATGATAAAATTGAAGCTTTCACATGTAAAACTTTTGAAGTTGGTCAATTTTTTTTATTTTTTTTTTGATAAGTTTTAATTATATATATACCTATATATTATAGTTGAATATATCATCCATTTAAATATGTGAAACAAGGTGCAATTTTTCAAAATGCTGTGATTTTAAACCATGAGAGCTACTCTTTCTTGCTAGAAGTTGGCATCATTTGAGATTTGGTAAGAGCCATTACTTTGCGGATTCGACCAAAAACCACATAATAGATAGTCACAAAACTCGAAAAATTGTCTTGCTACGTTTCTCCTGAAATTTACGTACACTCGTTTATTAAACACGTGAGGTTTGTAAGGGGAGGACAGTCTCTTGTAAACAAGTTAAAAATCAGTTCCTTCAATTTTTTTTTACTGTTTTGTCTGTCTGCATATATAACGCTAATATAAAATACTCGAATCCATTGCTTTTTTAATAACTTTCGTATCTATGTGTATTTACAACTACAATAGTAAATTGAAAAACGACAGACTTACATTCTGTAGAGCCTTGTTCTTCTCTTCCAATTTGCCTGTGACAAGTGTGAGAGCTTCTTGTGTCTGATCCAATTCGTTTTCAACAGTCTGGATTTTCTTTTGCAATTGACGTGCCTCTTCCTCAGCCTACGCAAGTATAATAAATAAAAAAAATAATTATTATTTTTATAATATAATAATAATAATAACATATGTATTTTTCTTATTAAATGTATTTTATGTATATACATATTTTTTTTTGTTTATTAATTTTTTTAAATAACTTTTTATTTATTTTTGTTTAGTTTTATTTTATTTATTTTTTTTTGATATGCCATTTTTTTCGTACTCCAAATCATATTTAATAGGTTAACTTACAGAAAGTGTTAAACAATGAAATTTCATTTTGAGTGTATTGGGGATTCATGAGATATTTTTTTTACAGTACTCGTACATTATAACGGTACTGATCAATCTTATTTAATTCATTATTCATGCAGAGATATTTAATCTTTATGCATTGTTGACGCAGCAGACACCTGCGTGAAACCGCCACTAATTAAATGTTCATATTAAACAAAAGAAGAAAAAAGAAATAATTCGCAATAAACAATTTCAACGTACAAACAGCAGACATTTGTAATTGAAGTGTAAAAACTCTGAGTTTTTTGCAATTGAATGAAGAAATTAAAAATGCACGCTGTTCAATTAAGCCGTTTGAATGATTATAACTGTTTTGCTGATTGTTGGTTAGCTTATCAAACAGCTGTAATTTGCTTATACATATATATGTACATATGCATATGTATATACTTGTAGTATATAAGTATTTGTGTATACTCGTACTATGTGTAATTACAAACCTTTTCGGCGCGAGTATTGGCATCGCGTGCTTGCTGTTCGCAGACAAGAGCACGTTCCAATGCTCCGTCCTTGTCGATTTTCATCGCTTGCATCTTCTTCTTGATGGCATCCATGGTGGCTGGGTTTTGTGTTTGCTCTGTTTACTCGAAGAAACTGAAATTGGCACATATGAAATGAAAAGTTAAGCGATTTACTTAATAATTTACACACATACACATTGAAGTCTGTAATTAAGCACAAAATTTTTGTATAAATAATAAATAAAGTATTTGAGAGCACAGTTGTGTTGCATGTGTCGGAGCTTCTAAATTTTAAGAAATACGAATCAAGATGATTTTGAAAATCTCTATCACCCACACTATAAAAATTATCGTGGAAAAAGTTGTATTACAAAAAAAGGTTTCTATGTTCTAAAAAAGCTTTTTTTTTTAGAAAAAATCAAAATCGCCGTGCTCAAATCAAAAGTTTTGTAAACCCATCAAGCATATGAAAACGGAATACATTTCACGAATTCGTTGTGAAGGTAGCCCTCTTCTAATTTTCACAATGAAATCACTATCAAAAAGATACTCAAACCTTTGACTACCATTTAATTATTCACTTGATCTTCTACTTACAGGACAGCCCAAATAAGATCCCATTTATTACTCGTGAATGCGTAAATGCAGATCACTTTGACGAGGCTGCGAGTTTTATTCTAAAATCGAATTGATGAAAGTTCGATCCAACGAAAACAATTCAATCAAGACTGAATGGAACATTTCAATAAATCTCTTCTCTGAAAGAGTAGTGGTCGTTTTTGCGTGGATCGAATTAATTCAGCCATAAAAACTATTCTTGAATGCATTCACAAAATCTACGCAAAAACTTTAATTTATTTGAAAAAGGTGTTAAAAGTGGTACAAAAATATACCAGCAGGATGTTGTCGAAGGCGTAATAAAGCATTTAAGCAATACTCTCTTCAATGGAGGGCATTGGATGTTCCAAACAAGATTATGCTCCAGCACACAAGATAAAGACCACCCAGTAATGGCTTAAATATTCTTGGTTTCATAGCTGCAGATGATTAGACACCTGGATGTCCAAATTTTTAAAGGACTAAGTATGATTTTACAATTTTAAAACTGTCATCTTTCGCTTATAAATTCTTTTATACTCGATGATCAAACTTTCTAGGGCAGGATTCGACTGAAGTGGGTAGTCACACACGCAGTGTTGTCAAATTGGACAAGAAAGCTATCCAAAATCTGTCACATACATGTATTGTGCGTATGTACTTAACTCGTTTGTAATTAATATTAAAGTATCATAATATTTACTACACACTTTTGATTACCCACCCGTTATTAATTGGTCTCTTAAAATTTTATTATTTACAAGAAAGTAAGAAAACGTCGAACTTGCTCTAATTTTATTAACAGATGACAGTACTCACACATGTACATAAATAGTTGCGTTCTACTTCAATAGACTACGGCGTTACCCCAAACCCAGAAGTGTAGACCATAAAATTACGTTTTAGATGAGGGTTCCGAGTGCGTGCCCAGCATGCTAACGTTGAACGCCGGCTTTTACCCAGCCATAAATAGATGTAGGTGAATAAATGGAAAGATATTTTAGTGGAGACAAGTGACATTTTGCATTTTGATAACTTACATATACATATGTATATATGTGTTAAGAAAATCGTAAGAATAAAATTTTGCGATTTTTTCTACCATTCATTACAGCCGGTTGATAAAAAAAATGAACATACGTATGTATATATTAGTATGCATGTATACCGCTAATTCTTGCAGAGCACACTTTCGAGATGTGGGTGAAACCGTAAGGTTTTATTTAATCACGTTGTAATCAATTCCAAGCACATAGAGCTAAGCACACGCACACAATATACAAGTATTATAATAAAAGGCAAAATATGGAGTGACGCATGACGAGTGACGACGACGCTGTGGCAAAATAAATAAATCTTGGTCATTGGAGCTGTTCACTGATTTACGGACGAATTTTTCTTTACGGTCGAAATAAAAATAAAAGCAGAAGTAATACGAATGCGTCAAACATTTGATGTATATACCATATATATGTATATTTGTATGCCGGTTTTTGTTGTAGAATGCATTTGACTTTTTACCTGAGAAATTGAGTTGTATGCAAAATACGTAACGAAAAATAAATTCCATGCATACTGCAAGCATACATACGTACACAAATGCATATGTAAGCATACATATAAGCATGTACATAAGTATAAATATATATGTGCATATATATATATATTTCTTTTTTATCGTATGTGATATACGAGCGTTTCCATTGACATTATAAAGTATAAGGCATTCCAAAAGCCTGACTCAGATTGAGCTCTGTCAGCGAAGGCGGCTTGTACCGATGACCCGGCCGCTACACACTCGCGCATACATT